CTTTTCAATGGGTTTCTCAATGCTATCGCAGTATTGAATCAAATGATTGACAGCGACTTCAGTCTCAGTAGTTTCGCAGATATTCACCAATGTTTTCATTTTATACAAAGAGTATGTATTCTGTGATATTAAAAAAATTAATAAAACAATTAATTAATAAAATAATTATAATAATTAAATTGTATAAAATTATTCACAAACCTCTCCAATATTATAACAGTTGTGAGAGAAAGTGTCCACAAGTTTGATATAACACTCTCTGTTATTGAGGTCTAGTCTCTCATTGAGCACAACATTGGCGTCAATTCCGGGCAAAGTATTCACGTATTCCACGATCTGATTGTCTAACAATTCTCGTCGGGATAGCATTGCCGCTAATTTATCAACATGCCTACATTTTTAATAAATATAAAATCTACCATAAGTAATTATTATATTTAATTTATATTTAATGTATAAAACTTACTGTTGTTTCGCCGCGAAATCATCGGTGGTTTCAATCTGTTTGCGGACGATATTTATGGCCGCATCACGTGATAGGGAAAATCCAGTGGGCGCGACGGTAGCGGCATCAAATTGGACTTTTTTATCACCTTGATTAAAAAAAAGTGCACAGTATGCCATAAATAAATGTCAATTTAATTAATATAACATTATGATCAGTACATACCCATATACTCGCTAACGTGGGCCTTATTGGCGATGGTCAAATCTCCATACTCCTGGGCGTGTTGCCAGTGCAACTCACCGTCCATGGTGAAATTGTTGCGCTCCTTAATGTACTGGAACTGTGTCTCAACACTCTCTTTGGTCAGATCGGCGGTCTCGCTGTTTTCGAGCCAGGTCACCGCGAAATATACAGCTACGCAAATTAAATAAAATTTTATTAATTATAGTGTAACCAGGTTGTTGCACAGTAATGTAAAAAACATACCGAGCCAGGTGTTGTATTTTTTCCATTCGGAGTTGGCTTTCCAGCCGAGCTCATCGGGCTTAGTGGCCGACACGGCGTACACATTAATGTCGTTGGGCAACAATTTGGCAAACATTGAACCTGAGCAAATTAATATTTATTATGAATATAAAAATAATATTCAACAGCATTAAGCAAATGAACTATAAATTATTATGCTTACCAGCTTCGCAAGCGGCCAAATAAAACACCAGGTGATTGAACTGTTTTTTAGTGTTCATGTCTTTGAACGCCTGGTTCAGGTCCTTGGCGTGAAGCAAATCGCCATTTGGGAATGCAACAATCTCTGTTTAATATAAAGTACCATGGACAATTATTAATATTAATTTATTATTAATTAACATGTTCAACAAACATTAGTATATAAAATTATATTATAGATTATAAATTGGTATATTTATCTTACCATCAGCACCATGATCGTCCAAATAGACAAACACACGATCGTTGGGACCGCTCTCAATCACTTTTTTACCCTGCGCTTTAAGCGTGGCATCACCTTGCAGAACTTTCAAAAAGTTCTATTCAAAAACACACATTACAATAATTAGTATTTATAAATATTACTTATAATAATCACTATGTTCATGTACTGTACATCGCTTTAAATTGCATCAGTATAAAATATTGTACTAGTTATATACCTGGGGAGTGACTTCTTTGCCAATATAGTGTTTGGGTACGCCTTTGTAGACATCGGGTCCGCCCACTCGGTTCACCACAATTCCCTTATCGGGATTATTTGGGTGCTGAGCGATGTCGTCGTAATGCATGACTACAATGTTCTCATCGGGAATGCCGTGAGCTTTAATCACTTGGTAGGCGTGGTATACGTCGGCCTAATATTAGCAAGATAAATTTTTAAAAATAAATACATAATTTATTGAGTGTAAGTGAGTGGGTAAGAGAGAGAGAGAATTATAATAATACCCACCTAACATACTTTTTAATTCACTATTTTGTATTGTTGTAATGGTATTATGTAATTTGCTCTTTTAAAAGTAGTATAAATAAGTGTTTACAAAAAAATATTCTTATTTTTTTATTATATCTACAATCAATAATCTAATTTTGCAAACCCACTTCATTATACTGATTAGAAATACTAGTTTATTACAATTAATCTAGAATGAGCTTGTAACCCTACTTATAACATGTCCTTACAAAAATATACACGTAAGTACAAAACTTATTTTATTTATAATTGTTAAATAAAAATTATATTATTTCCATTATAGTGTATCGTCTTTACTGCATATTGTTTATTTATATACAGTTTAATATAACTTATAAAACTTGAATAGCATAATTTAATAACTATTATTTTTAATTAATTAAAGACTTAACTAATAATGTATTCAATTCAATGTGAGTATTATTAAACCTTAATCTAGATTTATTTATGCATATTTATTAATTTAACAATCTTGTTAGTATACGTAACTTTATTTTTATATAAAATATTGTAGTCTGTTTTGTGGCATTCATTACTCTACTAACAAACAGCATATGTCAGCAAACAAAATGTCCCAGTATCGCAATTAAATCACCATGCAAGTTTGTCGAGAACTGGCCGAGATGTGCCATAAACTGCGACGGAGACGACCCGTTTGATTTGCGGGCCATTTTAGGCGACATCAGTCGACAACTGCCGGCAGACAACAAACTATTCCACTATTTCCGTACGGATAACACGGCTATAGAGGAACTGCCGGCCCAGGCGTTCGCTGGCCTACAATTCAAAGAGCTATTCATATACAAAGCCTACGGTTTGAAACGGATAAACCAGTGGGCGTTCAACGGCACTGAGGGTAACATAACTACCGTTTACATAGACGGCGCACACGTCACGGACCGGGTGGTCGACGAGTGGGACCTGTTTGGTGCCATCCATACTCTACACGGGCTAACCGGCCTCAACATCGAGAATACTAGAGTAACATCGCTGCCCACCCGTGCCATCTCTGGCCATCAATCGCTGGAAGATATACTGATTGCCAACAATCCGATTGACACGATAAGCACCGGCGCTTTCGACGACTTACCGGCGCTAAGGTTGCTATTTATACGCAACAATCCGATTGAAAAAGTGGCCGAACGGGCGTTTACTATAGGCCGCGACAACAGTACAGCCCAACACTCGGTGGACATCGAGCTGACCGGCGATTCGCTGACCGACCACTCGTTCGCCGCCCGGGCTTTCGATGACATCAAACGCCGCGCGGGTGTTGTGCTCAATGAGAACGCTGTCCCCCATTTGAATCGCACCGCTTTTGAGGGACTGTTGGCCGCAAATCCCGACAATTATGTTACCGATCCCAACATTGACTGCGCCGGTAGTGCTAATCAATGGATTAAAGAGAAGTATCCCAAAGCGTGGACTGCTTTACAGTGCAAGTAGTAACCCTGGTTCAATGATTAAATATGGTCATGTGGTGTACGTACATGATATAATTTGAATAATGTTATTTATAAAGATTTTAATAAAATTGTATTTCTAATTAAAATAACTTATAAATACAGTACTAAATAATAAAATATGAATATTAATAATAAAACAAAAATTAGTTACACTTTAATCCAGTGAGGGAGCATTTCACTGATGATAATTTTATGAAAGCTTTTAAAACCCCAATTAACCAGTTTATTGCCCAATGCGTTGAATAATAACAGAGATAATTAATACAATTTATATTAATGAAATAAAAATATTATTTTTATTGTAAATGTAACTATATTATATTTATTGGAAATTCATTATTATTAGTTTTGTTGACAGTATTGTATCAGCAATTGGTTGACAGCATTGATGTCCGCATCACTCGATTCACGCATTTCTTCGCATATATTCACAAATATATACAGTTTTCCCAAAACGTATGGATTCTGTTATAAATTAAATATTAATAATTAATACTTGTTTAAAACATAAAATTAATGAATTGATACCTTATTTAAATTAAAGCAATTATTGTGATAATTATTGACAAGTTTTCGATAACATTGTCTATTATTGAGCTCTTGTTTAGTGTTTAGAATAGCATTGCTATCGACTGTCAGTAAATGTTGAATACTATTCACGTATTCAGTCATATGTTTGTCCACATATTGCCTACCATTCAATTGTTTTTGCAACTCTTCAGTATAGCTATAAATATGGCGAACAGAAAACGGTGAAAAAAGGGGAAAAAAGTATATATTAAAGTGTAATGTTGTATTTACTTCAACATTGTTAATAGGTCTGTTAGCGTTACCCAAGAGTAGTGTTGTCCAAAGGTCAAAAAACGAATGTCCAAAGGTCAAAAAACGAATTGACCTTTGACCCTCAGGGTCATAAAAATCTTTGACTTTGACTTTGACTCGAGTTAACCCGGGTTAACCTTTTGACCATATTACGTAATTGTTGTCATAACAACAATAGTAATACAGTGGGAACTCTATGCTGTGAACCTTCTATGCTGTGAACTACTCTATGTTATGAACCATAAACCAAAAGACTTAATGTTAAAACAACCTCCATGTTGTGAACAACTCTTTGTTATGAACCAAAAGTCCTGGACCCGATCTATTCACAGCACAGAGTTCTGTCTGTAATTATGTATAACATTAATAATTAATTATTTCTTTCAATACAATTGAATTAACTATATTATTTACATTTATTATATATGAACAATTAATCCAATTAATTTTTTTAAAATAAAAGTGCTCACTGCGGTCAAACAAGAGATCGTCTGGCCATATGAAGTATATCATTTGACTCCTTGCAGATTTTACTTATAATTTTTAGTAATAACTTCCGTAATTCAAATAAACCCAAAAACGCAGTTATGTTGCAATATAGTAAAAAAACACAACTGTTCGCCCTAGCTATAAATCATTTATTTAAATTTCTTATTTTACTTTCTTAAACACAAAGACATTTAATAAATAAAATACCGTATTTTCTCAGTGATACTCAGCGTTTGTTTGACAGCACTCTTAGCCATAAATAATGGCACATCTCTAGTGTTTAGCCGACTGTAGACTTCATTGACTGAGTCGTCAATACTTTCCATGATTTTTTGTTTACCTAAAAAACATTAAAAGTTATTTATTAATTAAAACTAAACATAAGATTATATTTAAATACCAAAGAAATATGATAATGGTAACTCGGCTATTGATAAATCACCATATTGTTGCGCTTGTTGAGTATCACCGGGTTCTACAGGTCGGTCACTATTGTTAGTAAATGCAAATATATTGTCAAACTGTTGCTGCAGTGTTGCCGATGTTAGTCGCTGGATATCCATCATCCAGTAATATCCAAATAATGTACCTGGATAATAAAATTAATATTTATATGATTAATGATATTTGAATTTGTACGAAAATATTTAGTAAATTAATAATATAATATAATTAATATAATAAAAGTATTATATAATTACAATGTTTAAGGATTACACAATTAGAAACAATATTTACATTTAATTTCCCGTGTTTATAAAGAGATTGTTACATGGTATAAAATGGATAGTTTTATATTATTATTTTACTATAATTAGAGAATTAGTATTACCATAACAAGCTTGTAGCTTTGGATCGTCACAAAACGCTTGCCAACTCACCTGGTCCGGCGAGCTGGCCGACACGGCGTACGCGTTTATATTATTGGGTAACAAGTTGTTAAACATTGAGCCTGGTGATAAGTCAAAAATTATTATTAATGTTAATACATAAATTACAGTAGATATACGTATAGCCTGTGCACTAATATACCGATTTAAGTCCATGAGTTATATAACTTTTATAGTACTATTTAGCAAGTAAGTACATGTGTAATACTCTACTTAGCAAGTGTAATACTCTACCATCTTATATAGTTTAATTATGAAAAATGTGAAATGTCAGTATTTTAAATTGGTAGATTAACACAAATTCTGTATTAAATATATATATAATGTTTTGGTCAAGACGGTCATACCTGATTCGCATGTATCTAGATAAAATACTAATTTAGCGTATCGTTTGTTTGCGTGCATTTCCTGGAGAGCAGTATTTAACTCTTCGCCATATAATAATTCGTTAGGAAATAAAATCATATCTAAAAATAATATTTAATTAAATATTTTTCACATTAATTGAGTGGAAGGTAGAGAGAGAGAGAGAGAGAGAGAGAGA